AATGTTATTTAGGTAATTAGTTTTAGATAACCTTTTAGATGATGTCGCTTCTCATGTATGAGGGTGCAGGTTCGAAACTTACCCACAGAAAATACTAATGTGACTCTTTCCAAGTCATATGTACTTTTTAAGATTATTTAGACATCACTGACAAACGGTGAAGGAAAACATCGTTAGGAAACCTGGGCTTATAATTTCTAAATGTAAGTTTGTAATCACTAACCCACATTGAGCAAGTGTAGTGATTAATACTCAAAACTTCTCCGTGTGAGAAGAGGCCTTTGCTCTGCAGTAGCCGCTTATAGGCTGATGATGATTAATCTTTTCGTGCGATAGGGAAGGCAGTTATAATTGACATAATAATTTCTCTGCCTCATTGTCCGAGTGGTTGCAAGTGCGACTGCAGGGCAAGGGGTCTCGGGTTCGATTCCCGGGTCGGGCAAAGTATTACTGGGTTCTTAAAAAAATCTCAGTAGTAGCACGGAGTCTGGAAATGTGCCCGGAGTATGGCAATAGGCTCACCCCCTATTACATGGGACTCATAACATAAATAGTGAAAAGTGGGTGTTACATTGTACAGTGGCGTAATGTGCACCTCTGCCTACTCCTTCGGGGGTAAAAGGTGTGATGATATGTATGTGTAATTATTAATACGGACAAAAATTAAATTAAGGACATTTTTTTCAGATAAATATGAAAAAGAAATAAGAAGCACAGTAACCAAGCAGTTCCTTATCAACTCTATGAAGATGGTTTCCAACGAGAAGAAACGCCCCAACGCTGACATCAACGAGGAATATTTGGCTGGATCATTCAGGAAATTAGATTTCGATTAATTTTAATATTTAATGGTCTTTAATTAATGTTAATTAAGTGTAGCTATTAATTATTATTATTTTGTTTAATATATTGATTTTATACTTATGGTTTATTGTAGTTTCATTACATGACTAGCTTCTGCCCGCGACTTCGTACGCGCAATCCCGATATTTCCCGTACCCGTTCTTGATTTTCGGTTAAAAGTAAAAAATAAGTATTGGGTAAAAAGTATCCTATGTCCATCTCCTGGTTCTAAGCTACCTCCCTGCCAATTTTCATCCAAATCGATATAGCCGTTCTTGAGTCATAAATAGTGTAACTAACACGACTTTCTTTTATATATAGATTGCGACCACTATCACTACGCCCCATTTCACTACCAAAATTGAGCAACGACTGCAATTATTTTAAAATTGCAAACCCATTACATATTGCCATTGGGCATGTCGATGTGGTCTTGACGATGCTCTGTCTTTGTTTAGTCAATATCATTTTTTCAGATTTATTTTTAAGGGGGGAAAATCATCGAATGACTGTTCCCGCCTGGGTGAGGCGAGAGGGAGTGTCAGACTTTTACTGAATAAAAACCACCCCGTTCCTTCTCCTCCACGTCGAGTCGGAGCCCCGGTAACCTGTTAGGTACTCCGCGACGTTCTTTCAGGTTAGAATAGGGATTTTATATAAAATCTCATAATATCACGCCTTTTTACCCCCGAAGGCGTAGGCAAAGGTGCACATTACGGCACTTATTGCCACTCTACAATGTAACACCTACTTTACGCTATTTATGTTATAAGTCCCACGTAATAGAGGGTGAGCTTATTGTCAATTACCGGGCATAATTCTAGACTCTGTGCTACTATTGGAACTTTTTTAAAACCCAGTAACGCTTTACCCGGGAATCGAACCCGAGACCCCTGGCACCAGTAGCACTTGCAACCACTCAGCCAACGAGGGAGACTGATATAAAATTGGTTAGGTTAAAATCCCATCTGCATTCCCTAAGGTTAATGAAAAAAAACAAGCTCTATAATTCACCTCATTTATTTGAATATCTCACTGAAAGATACCTACTTAAAATACTAAAGTTAATTAGACACTTATAGACAAACAACTTACTAACCTAAATTAACAATAATTTGTGTCTTTAATACCTAGGTAAAACGTCTGCAAATCAACTGTAGTCATTTTGCTCAATAAAAACTGTCAGTGGCTAGATTTACAAGACATAACTCGAGAGTGATGCCATCTAGGAATGGCGTTAAATTATTTAGAACTTTCATTGAGATATTGTTATTTTTATAATAATAGTGTTTATCACAATACATAGCGTATTTTAGTATTTATACGTACATATGTTCATTTTTTATATCATTTCGAGTAATATTTAAATAGGCACTGGTAAAATTGTCGCTTAAATTTCTTTTACAATTGAATCCATATTTTTATAAATGAGACAGAGAGTATTACCTTCTAATCTAAATCAACATCATCATCATCATCATCAGCCCGTATTCGTCCACTGCTGGACATAGGCCTCTCCAATGGCACGCCACTGACCTCGGTCTTCAGCTCATCTCATCCAACCACTGCAAGCCATCTTGGGAATGTCGTCACTCTACTCTAAATAATGTTCAATAATGTCAATTATGTTGTATTATTATTAAGTTAAACTATCACATAGCTACTGACACCCGTATCGGAATACCATACGTGTTATTCTAGGCTTAAAATGCATGAAATCGACAATGAAGCACAAAGTTGAGTCCGGCTTAGATCTAGGTCTTAGCTAGATATGTCACTAGACTAGACTATTAGTCTAACAGTTATGTTGTAAGTACATATAATAGAGGCGAATTTTAGGGCACAATATTTGACCTCCAAAAAAAGCTCAGTAGGTAGTAACACGGAGTCTGTAATTGTGCCTGGTATATGGCAAGTGGAACAAGTGAATTTATTTCTGCAAATAGGCTACAAGGCTTACATGTCAATTTTATCAAACGTACGATGAGGCCGACATTTTACTCTGGCAATATACTCACTCCTTATTACATGGGACTCATAACATAAATAGTGAACAGTGGGTGTTACATTGTACAGTGGCAGTAAGTGCCGTAATGTGCACTCCTGCCCACTTATAAAAGGTATGTTACGTTATATCAATACTTGACTTCGTGGTACTAAGTACTTAAGAATTTTCATTCACCAATAAGTTAATAATATTTAATTAGACTTTGCTCTGCGATGATCACCACTTGTCTAACGACGCAGTCACTATAACAAATTCATTTTGAGAATAATAATTAGAACACTATTACAGTATTCTGTGAAATTGATCAACTTCAGAGGCTTTACTATAAGTTTGTTTTACGTTGAAATAATTGAAGCGAGACCGCGCTCGACGCAGCACTCTGATTGGTTGGTTTATGGGAGCCGGCCAATCAGAGTGCCCAGCACGGTCTCATTACTTTCAACGTAATATAAATTCGTACTCAGCCCTCGGAAATGAACCGAAACAAAATTCAGACATCAATTGCTCAGAGATTGGCACTTGCTTAAACACCATAATTACTTAGAAAAAACTCTTAAATCACAACAATAATTGTCTAACTAGAGGTATATTACTTTCCTAATGGCCCGTTTCATAGCTGCTATCCACCAGATAAATCTACATTTTAACACTATCTGCCAATTAAATTTATCAGGAACTTATTGGGGACATGCGAAAATAGCCTTAAATATAATTCTAATTGGGTAGTAAATAAATTAATCTAATTCTAGTTTTCTGAAGGATCCCTCTACACCAAAGTCGTCTGTGATTTTTGATGGTGTTATCCTTTTTGACTCGTCCACGAAGAAGTTCTTGTCCTGGTTCGCGTAGAATCGCTTCCATGATTCTGATTGGAGGGTTTCATACCATGCATCTGTAAAAAGAAAATAATTATATTTTTTTTTGTTTTCTTTATCGTAGATACTATTTGTAAGTTTGAAGCCATGTTCTATATTCTAAACGAACGCGAATTCTTTCTTGAATAAGATATTTACTAATATTTTTCTTTTTCTAGATTGATTTAATGTCATCCACTATAACTAGAGACGAATTTAGCAACGATGAACTATTTATTCTTTTTATAGTTTTTTTTTCAATTAATACTTTAGAAAAAAGGTTTGTTTTGTAAATTATCCTAATAAAAGTAAGTATGTAATTTGTTATATTTGCTAATACTAAAATAATTCAATTGAAACAGAATTTGAAGTAAATTCTAAATAGTTAGGTATATAGAGGTAGTAATAATAATTTGCAGTTGAATTTTCTTCGCAAATAATCGGCGTATCTACCAAAGAATAACAACCATTTTTTTACTATAAACAAAATATTTACATTAATACTACTATTATTGCTTCATTGCCCGAGTGGTCGCAAATGCGACTGCCGGGCAAGGCATCTTGGGTTCGATTTTCGGCTCAGGCAAAGTATTATAGGATTAAAAAAAAATGCCAACAGTAGTATAAAGTCTGGAATTGTGCCACGTATAATAAAGTCGATGCGATAAATAGTGAAAAGTGAGTATTACATTGTACAGTGGCATTAAGTGCAGTAATGTGCACCTCTGCCTACCCCTTCGGGGATAAAAGGCGAGATATTAAGTAAAACTATCAACTCACCCGATAACTCCTGGACAGTAGTATTAGCAGTCCCACCAATATCACTTGGAAATATGTCCCTAGGTAACACATTGAAAATGTTCTCAAATCCGTCATAAAGGTGCAATCTCTCTGCATGTTTGGGCTTCATAATCTTCTTGGCAAGGGCCAAGATTGAGTGACCAAAGACCGGCACGTTGACTAGATGTATGCCTTTGATCTTGATCGCGTGGCACGACTGGGGGTCAAGAAGGCCGGAGGTTAAACAGGTATTTTATGAAAAGTCGGGTAAGTAAACAACTGGCGATTGCTGATATATCTTGGGGCGTTATGACGGCAAAGGTTCTGCAGTGGTGTAGCGTGCCTTGGGCGTATAAAAAAAAAATTTAAGGGCCCTTGAAGGGTAAACATTTCTCATAAGAGATTTTTTAAATAAAATACTTATACATACATACATACATAACTTCACGCCTGTCTCCCATGGGGGTAGGCAGAGACTAAGGAACGCCAATTACTACGATTCTTACATACCTCTTTCGCTTCATTAACAGTCATCAATCTTTTCATGCATGCTCGTCGGTTAAAAATACTTATAATAAGTGTGAAAACCTAAAATCTCTGTCCTAATTAGCGGGCCTTAATTACTTGCGATTACTGAAATAGAATAAAAATTGGGAAGTTTTTATTCATTTTTGCTTAGGCACGTTGGGGGCCCCTGTAGTCCGGGGGCCCCGTATAATTGATACGGCAGATACGACGCTAGCTACGCCCCTGGATTTCTGTGTGCGTTGGTGTCTCAAACCTCATGCAGATTGGTCGATAAGTGCAGCTTATAAGTACTGAGGAAGGGATTCAGGATCGTATACATGTTAAGAACTCGAGAATGGTGGTCGCAAGAGCAACTTCTGAGCATGGTTTCGTTCCCATATCTGCTAACGTATCATTGAGGACTTTATGTATGGGGTTTTTTTTAAGTTTCCCACCACCAGCACAGCACATTTTATTACTATGGAGTCTAGAATGGTTACTGATGCTCGGTATAGCAATGAATTCACTTACTCATTCCAAATAATTAATATTTTTATAATAACTATCTTGAGACATACTAAATTAACTATAACCAATAACGACGCGTGACGAGTCGCGATGACCGTGCACGCTGCTCATGAGGAAGAACCCCTCTGTGGTTCGAAACTAGTTGAGCTTTGCTCAGTATATTCACGTAAGTAACCCGCGATTTTATACTTATAGTTAATTTAGAATTGATATTGTTACTGATGAAAAGTACGCATTTTCATATTGTATGTCTATCTCAACCAACTCCTCCAGGAATGAAATTATTTTCAAGAACTCACCGTAACAAAATAATAAATTTTAGATATCAACATGGGTGTAAACTGTAGCGCATGATTCAAGGTTGCATTGCTGAAGTCCAAGATCCAGTGGTCTCCATGTGTGACGTCATTTAATAGTCTATAGTCTCCCATCAGAAACCCTAGTTTGGCCACATCCAGAACAACCATATCTGGGTTCACGATTCTGGAACGAGAAAAAAGACATTGAGTTAGTAGAATAGACTTTACGGATGCATGCATATGCATCCCCATGCACATCGACGGTTGGCAGGCCAGAACTGTGCGCTTCTCAAGTAGCTTTCTGCCTCGCACAGCAAAACTGTGAAATGATCTGTCGTCGGCGGTATTTCCGAACCGATACGACCTTTGAACCTTCAAGAAAAGAGCGCATTCCATATATTCCATAAAAAAATGTCGTAAACCGGTAAACGAGCATTACCTGATGTTAAGCAAACGGTGTCGTCCACCGATAACCGGAACATTAGAGGCGTTACAAGTGCGTTACAGGCCTTTTGGGAATTGGAAGTTTGAGGATTGTGGAGGATTCGGGGATTGGGTAATTGGGCCTCCGGCAACCTAACTGATATGACGAAACACAACACAAGCGTTGTTTCACGTCGGTTTTCTGTGAGGTGGTATCACTCCGGTCGAGCCGGCCCATTCGTGCCGAAGCATGACTGTCCCACGCGTAAACACATTTACAACCACTTTCAAAATAACATCATCCAAACAAATGGGAGCTTCTATTACAACTGGCAAGCCTCTTACTAAACCTAACTCAACTTCAAACTGAGCTAAAATGGCTTGGACGTCAGCTGGAAGTCTTAAAATTTTCATGATCTAAGTCAGGGGTTCCCAACGTTGTCTTGGTCGAGGAACACTTTAATATTCTCCTGTAATGCGACTGGGACAACGGGTCGTCTCGGTTACGATTCCCGGGACGGGCAATGTAAATGAGTTTTTAAATAAATTCTCAGTAGTAGCACAAAGTCTGAAATGTGTCCGGTATATGGAAATATGCTCACCCATATTATATGGGACTCATAACACAAATAGTGACAAGTGGGCACTTAATTCCACTGTACAATGTAACAACATTGTTCAGTGGCATTGAGTGCCGTAATATGTGTGCCGTATGCAGAAGTGCTGTGCCTAGACGCTGGTGAGATCGTAGGGAAGAACCAGGTCGTTGCACACGATGGTGGTCCATGATGAGGCCGAGGATGCTGGTTGGCTGCGTCTTGATTACCGCTCAGCGGAGAAGTGAGGATGACGGTGCGTTGATCTGCTCCGTGAAGTGAAGGTTGCTTCCGATCACGTCGGGGTCACCACTTTAGGAAACAGAGATTATAATTCCCTAAGATCGGAAAAGGAGGATCCTCCGATCAGGCTAGGTGATCGTGCCTGGCGGGCTTTCTGCTCAACAGTTGTTCGTTGGGATTTTCTGTTCGTGTTAATTCGATTGTAAACTTCGCATGTGCGATGTAGGATTTTATGACGTCATCCGTTGACATGTGAAATGTGTCGCCACAAACCTACCCCTTCGGGGATAAAAGGCGTGATTTTATGTATATGTACTTTCTAATATCTTCTGCAGCCACTGGTGTTCTACGAACCACCGGTTGAGAACCACTGATCTAAGTCGTGACAGGAACGTGGCCAGTAAACGGACTTTGCAGACCACCTGTGCATATTTTAAAGGTTTCTCCGAATGCAGGTAAATTGGATAGTACTTTTTGCATTTCGTGGTCATTTTTGGTGATTAGTTTTAAGGAAAAAGTCTAAGTCAAAATCATTTATTTCAATCAGACCGGAAAAGCACTTTTGAACGTCAGCAATACAAATTTAAAAGTGAAGCTATTTGCTCATTCCAAGGTTTAGATTCCTATAGAGACGAACGAGCAAGAAACTGCATAGATAGGTTACTTTTTTCCAATCAGGTTCACAATACAATTCTTAAGTTACACAGTTTTAAGGGTTCGATGAACAATGTAACACTCACAATGTCAAATTGTGTGTTTTTTCCTGTTCCCGTTCGTGATATTTATTAAGAATATAAAAAAGTATTCTATGTCCGTCTCCTGGTTTTAAACTACCTCCCCACCAATTTTCATTCAAATCAATTTAGCTGTTATTGAGTTATAAATAATGTATCTAACACGACTTTTTTATTATAGATGTGATAGTTTCTTTATTTGGATGTTTGTCCGTCAATCATGCTGAAACTTAATTTAAGTGTGGGAGAGCCATACTTCGGCACGCATGGGCCAGCTAAACCGGAGTGATACCACGGCCTTACAAAAAACCGATTGTTATTTTAGACCATGATCTACCCTAGTTCCAAATTCCATCTCGATCCCTTCAGCCGTTTTCACGATAAAGAGTAACAAACACACAGACACACACACACTCACATCTCCTCAATAACTCGCATTTATAATATTAGCAGGTTAGAATAGTAGGAAGTAGGATTTGATCAACAAAATGTAAGCAACAGATTTCTTGTTTGTTCACTTAAAGCTTCATCGCTCTAATACTAGATGGCGCCACATTCACGGAAAGTTCTATCAAAACGGTGACGTCACGAAAACTAGTTTTATATCGATTTAATTCGATGAAAAATGGTTTTGCATAATACTTGCGTAGTACGGAAGTTTGTGTAATACGAGATATTATTGTTTTAAGGAAGTATTTTAATCTAGTTTCTTTATGTAATCAAGATGGTCATTTGCGGAAATATTATTATAATTAGCAGGAAAATATGTGGACACGGACAACTCAGTTGTAGCTGGTAACGACAAGTCATGCAATTTGATGGAAGGTAAAGACATTGAAACTGTTTTTATAGGCACGTGTTAATCAATGAGAGTTATGGTTTTTATTGCTTGCTACTTAAGAACCTATTTGTCCAATCAGTGTAGGCATTAAAAAATTACTGATTCAATATAGTTGGATATTGGGAAATTCTGTTTTGGATAGGAGACCTCATACTATAAATAATAATGGCCTTCATAAACCATGAATAAATTCCGTTTTTTTTTTGTATTCTCAGTAGTAGCATGGAGTCTGTAAATGTGTCCGGTATATGGCAATAGGCTCACCCCCTATTACATGGGACTCATAACATAAATAATGGAAAGTGGGTGTTACATTGGACAGTGTTATAATGTACAGCTCTGCCTTTTTTTCCCATGTTATGCAATACAATGAATAAATTTAATTGTACTCTAATGGATAGGTTGAAATGATACATCAATGGGAGCCCAGCAATTAAAATTTATAACAGTGTACACAAACTATTATTAGAGTTGCAGTGTACCTATTTCAGTAACATCCTTATTAATTATAAATTGGAAAGTGAATTTGTTTGTTTGTTCCGCTTTCACGCCGTAACTACTAAACAGATTACTTTGAATTTTTGCAGTTAAAGTTAGAAGTCTGAATTAAATAATAGGGTACTTTTTATCCCGGAAAAATGAAATATTCTCAAGGGAAAACGAAATTATTGGTATAGATGGCGCTGTGTGTATTTTTTTTTATGGGGGGAAAATCATTTAATGACTGCTCCCGCTTGGGTGAGGCGGGAGGGAGTGTCAGACTCTTACTAAACACCACCCCGTTCCTTCTCCTGCACGAGAATAATCGAGCCGGAGCCCCGGTTACCCGTTAGGTTCTCCGCGACGTGTGTATAGGTATATGTCACATAGGCTACTTTTTATCCTTTTGTGACGCAAGCGAAGCCGCGGGTAAAAGCTAGTTTTTTATAAGAAAGGGCGCTAAACTTTATATTATATGTATATATATTATGTTTTTTTTAAACTTAACAAAGTACTTAATTGTTTTTTTCTCTTTATTGTGTAATATTTCTTTTTTATTAGTATTTTAGTATTTCCAAATTAAGTTTAGTTTTGTCAAGAATTTGTTTTTTTTTTTGTTTGGACGTAAGACATACAGACCTAGATTTGGTTATTAAGGCCGAGCTATCGCAATGGATAAACCTGTCATCATAGTTTAGGTAAGGTTTTATATAAATAAATAAATAACCTGACAAAGGGAGACCTTACGAACACTCACAACGCAATAAAGTTACCAGTTAAAAAAAAAATAAAAAAATTAACTCACCTGAACAAAATAACCCGATGATTATCCTTAGTTTTCATCGGAGGGACGACCCAGTACCCCTCCTTCAGAAACCTCTCCATGTTTGGAGACCAAGAGCCCCTCCCCAGCAAGATATCAGGCATCTTAGACCTGGCTGAGAAGTAGTTGTCAATCTTCTCCTTGCATTGTTCCACGCTGAACCCTCGGGTGATGAGGTGGCCTATGATCATGCGGTCATCTGGAAACGAAATTGTTTTATTATGGATTGAGTTAACAACCGACTTTATAAAAGGAGGTTCTCAATTCGACTGTATTTCTTTTTATGTTTGTTACTCAATTTCTCGAAGACGCCTGAACCGATTTTAAAAATTCTACTTTTATTTGAAAGGGTAGGCACGTCATTTGATCCCATTGCCTTTAGGTCAGAATCTCATAGTTAGATCGCAGGGAAACCGAGGGGAACTTCTGAAAATTAGTGTATTTGTTAATTTTTGCATTAAGTATTTAAACCTCTGCTCTGACTGCCTCATTGGCCGAGTGGTCGCAAGTGCGACTGCCGGGCAAGGGGTCTCGGGTTCGATTCCCGGGTCGGGCAAAAGTATTACTGGGTTTTTCAAAAAATTCCCAGTAGTAGCACGGAGTCTGGAATTGTGCCCGGTATATGGCAATAGGCTCACCCCCTATTACATGGGACTCATAACATAAATAGTGAAAAGTGGGTGTTACATTGTACAGTGGCATAATGTACACCTCTGCCTACCCCTTCGGGGATAAAAGGCGTGATGTTATGTTATGTTATTTAAACATATTTCAATTTGATATTGGTCTGGAGTCAGTGGAGGGAACTCCTCGAAGACTTACACATGTGACCTTGTGATTCTCACTTATTGCAATTGATTTACAACAAAATAAGTATAAACACAAATCATTACAAAAGTCTATATTAATTTGAATAAGTTTATAGTCTGTGATCACGAAAATTAACATAAATCTATTAATGTACGATAACGGAAGGCACTATGCTCTTTATGTACCACAAACAAGCAACTAAGTAAGGTTTGCAATTATAGGTATAAATAAAAACCCCAGATGGTTTTCCCGTAACTTAGCGGTTATAGATAAGTCACGCTATAACTTACAACTTGATTGAGACAACCGGAAAAATTACAACTAAACATAATTAGTAATTGCACGCCATTGAAATGAGAACTATAGTAGAGTTACTTTCCGTGACGTCAAGTATCATTGAATGTTTTTTTTTTAATTATCACATCAGAGGGCTTAGTACAAATTTGTCTTATGTTTAAAGTAATCGACACGAGACCTCGCTCGGCGCTGTGATTGGTTCTTTCATTGGAGCCGACCAATCATAGCGCCGAACACGTACTCGTTTCGGTTACTTTTCACGTACAACAAACTCGTACTAATACCTCTGTTATTTCGTATTTTTAAGAACGAAGTAGAAGTAGAATGTTTATGCACTTTTTGTCAATTATAATTTAGGTGATTAACCTTAGTACAGTGCCTTAGTAGTGGGTCCTAGAGTCACACATAATGATTTCAGAATCAACAGAGGCTCAATTACCCTCCCCCTTCCTACTCTCTCGATCTTCTCAATCCCTGAATTCCCAACAATCCTCAAATTCCTAATCCCCAAAAGGTCGATAACGCACTTGCAATGCCTCTGGGGTTTCAGTTGTCCATGGTCGACGCCGATTGCTTACCATCAAGAGATCCGTCTGCTCGTTTATTCCATAAAAAAATGTATGTGATTACGGATTTTTTCGAAAATCAATACCCCAGTACTACCTATATTCCAATTATTCTGAGCATAAAACCTGTAGTTTTAAACACAGAAGTAAGAATTGTCATCATTGATTGATAATAAATAAATTCATTGATAGCATAATCAAACAAAAATGTCGTTCTAATAATCCCTGTGCCTACCCATAACAGGAAAACGCGTGAAGTTGTTTATATACTATCAAAAATAAACGTACGATATATAAATATTTATATAAAATTTATTTAAATTCAATTCAATATCAATAATAAAGATAATTTTATCATTATTATGGCTATGTCCGTATTTGAGGTAGAATGCGAAATAATGATAAATTTACAGTACTTAAAAACTGGTCGTGTTATATTGTAATATATGACAAAGAACAACATAACATAACATCACGCCTTTTATCCCCGAAGGGGTAGGCAGAGGTGCACAGAAAAGTAACACCCACTTTTCACTATTTATGTTATGAGTCCCATGTAATAAGAACCTATTGCCATACACCGGGTACAATTCCAGACTCCGTGCTGTAGATATTAAGATTTTTTTTAAATCCCAGTAGTACTTTGCCCGACCTGGGACTCGAGACCTCTTGACCAGCAATCACAATCAATATAATTCTCTGACCAACTTCTATCTTCCTACCACCTTTATGCAGATGATTTGCAGATTTACGCGCAGGCACCGCTCGAAGAACTCTTGGAAGCAGTCAAAATGATAAATGCCGACCTGACTTCAATATCCAACTGGAGCTCGACTTACGGGTTAAAAGTGAATCCAGCAAAGACTCAGCTCATTGTTATCGGCAGCCCCAGACAGATAGCTAGAATTAACTGGACGCATATTCCACCGGTCACGTTTGATGGAACTACAATCCCGTACAGTAAATTTGTCAAAAATCTGGGTATTCTCTTTGACAGCACTTTGTCCTGGGCTCCACAGATTCAAGAACTGAGTCGCAAAATCTTTGCATCGGCGGCGTCCTTAAGAAGACTTCGCAATTTTTTACCAATCGCCACTAAAACTGCGCTTGCTCAATCTCTCCTTCTTCCCATCTTGGACTACGCTGATGCCTGCTACCTTGATCTAACAGAGGCACAACTGGACAAACTTGAGCGTCTCCAAAATTTCTGTATAAGATTCATATTTGGCTTGCGCAAATATGACCATGTCTCGGAATTCCGTAACAAGCTCAAGTGGCTTCCTATCCGTCTTCGCCGGAATACGCATATCCTGTCACTTCTTTACAGTATTCTGTACAATCCTGCTACGCCCTCTTATCTCAAAGAACGTTTTAAGTTCCTTCATGACGCACATTCAAGACACTTGAGGTCTACTGCGAATTTGAGATTGGAGATGCCAACACATACGACTGCCTTTTATGACAAATCCTTTGTTGTAGGAGCCATTCGACTGTGGAACGCACTTCCATTATCAATAAGACGGGCGCAATCTTTGGATTCGTTTAAAAGACAAGTAAAAGATCATTATCTAACACAGATTCAATAGAGTAACTGCTACCGCATATCCGTATGTATGTATGTATGTATCTGATTTTGTGTATGTATGTGTATGTATATATATATGTATATATGAGTATGTAGGCATGTATGTATGTGTGTACATATTGTATGTATGTATCTAAACTGTTCTGTCATATCCATTGTATTTAATTCAACACTATGAACTACCCACATGGTATCTGCTCTCACGGTTATTTATCCATCCTAAGGTTGCCTGGAAGAGATTGCTGTAAGCGATAAGGCCGCCCATTGTGCAACATGCCAAAACTATTTTTTTTTTT